CACACACCACACACACACACATACACACACCACACACATACAAACACACACACACATACACACACCACACACCACACATACACACACACACACCACACCACACACCAAATAAGCAAATAAATATTATTTATAAACAGAGGGAGAAGGAGGCTAGAGAAGAGCAGCGTCATCTCTCACCATCGAGGTTACGACTGAATGTGTTAGAAAATCGCTGCCGCCGACTCAAATCACTAGGCTAGCAGCATATTATGACCAAGCTGTGCCGGGACATCAAAAAAGCCAAGACTCCATGTCAGGGTGCATACTCCGACCTGTTGACAGCTCCTACCCAGGAAGTCAAAACTTACCATGGATCAGGTATCATGACAACTTAGCTTTGTGCTGCTGCTGCCGCCGCCGCCGCCACCGCTACTGTGGTAAAATGTGAGAGAGGGCACGCGGGCTGGAACACGGCCCTTGAATATTGCATGTCCAAGAGAAACTCACTTGCAGACCTCCTTCCTGCAAACATCTCCTGCTGAAGAGGGGGCACCACGTGCACACTTGAATCGCTCAGCAGCTGTGGAGGCGAGTGGGCACAGGGTCGTCTTTGACAGGGTCACTCACCGATCACAGAGCTTCTGTGGTTTAGTCATGAACACGTGGAAAATAAGCAGGCAACATGAAATTTAGATGTGGATTTCTGCCTCCAGATTGAGTTTTCTTTTTAGGCGTTGGGGATGGAACTCATTTCAAAAAGCTGAGGGAAATTTTGAATGAATTTAAAAGTAAATGAATGGAAAATACTCACCTAAGTGTTAAATTGCTGGTCATTATGCAACATTCACAGACTGTAGAATCAGCTCGAATTTAGAGGGAATACAACTGAAGGAGCCTTCTGAGTGAAATAAATGTAAGTAGACATTGATCTAATTTGTGTGGGGGGATCTTTAAGCTGCTGTGAAAAATCCTGAATGTTCCCAACACAAAGACATAAAAATGCCTAAATTGACAGATATACCTCTTAGTCACTCCTGATTGTTACATATGGCAGGCATGTTTTTAAATACCACACTGTATCATATAGTACTTACAGTCATTATGTGTCAACTAAAATAAGAGAATTAAAAAAAAATTATCCTAGCACTTGTGAGGCTGGGGTGGGAGGATGGTGAATTTGAGGGTCAGTTTGTACTTCTTAGTGAGACCATGTGTCAAACAAAAAAATCAGATTTTCTCCCTAAGGTTAAAGACAGAGAGGTTCAGGTGCCTGACTCTAAGAAGTGCTTGTTCAGAAGCTGCTTAAAACTTCAGCTCAGTTCTGGTTTCTAGTCTAGAAAACACGGTGCCCAGGGGCTGGGTCTCCAGGGAATGCAGGGGTCGTCAAACATATGGAAAGAAGTCTCTTTGATGGCTTTCATTTAAACTCTCTGTGCCCTCCATGCCAACAATTCTGGAGATGTTTGGTGACATCATTGAAGTTCAGCAACCAGCCAGCTGTGCCACACAAGGACAGTGTCACAAAGGGACAGTGTGCTCTTTTCCCCAAGATGCCCTGACAGGGTGACCACTGTGTGGATGTGTGAAGAGCAGATGGTTAGAACCCCTGCCCTCTTCCCAGAGCCCCTCCCTGCTCAGACTTTGCCTGAGCATCCTCTGGGTTCTCAGCTAGTGCCAGAAGACCTGGGGCTGTGTGTCTGTCTGTCTGGATGGCCAGTTCACCCTTAGGAACATAGAGAAACACCTCCCACCCCCCAATTGCTCATTTCCCCAACTCCTGCTAGGAGGAGCTGTCACAATTTGAAGAACTACAAGCATCGGGTCGCTTTATACTTTAATCCATAAATAAACATTTCTGCCTTTGAACTTCATTAAATTTGGACATGTTTTCATTTTGAAGCTGTCTGGCATCCCTATCATTCAGACATATAAAACTATAAAACTAGCAATTAATTTAGGTCTATTGGAGTACTGGTGGTCTAGCAGCAGTGAGTTTATGCCAACAAAAGCAGATGGAAACCTCAGACTCGGAGACATAACACTTAAATAAGAAAATTACCAAGTCTTCTGCGCAAGGAAGAGGGGAGGTTATCTTCTACTTGTTCCTGGTGGGATCCATCAGCCTTCCCAACTTGTTTAAAGAATTTTGGAGACAAGGACTCCCCAAAATTTATTTCCTCCAAATTTATTCATGTGAATAAAACAATCATTTGATGAAAACTTAAAATCTAAACTGTGAACTGGCTGATCACAGATACATTGACAATATTTGGCCATATGTGGTAGTTCACATATATAATCTCAGCACTGGCTAGGTTGAGAGGGAAAAACTGTGAGTTCAAGGCCAGCTTGCTCCAGTCCTGTATATGTATGTGGGGATGTGAATGTGTATGTGAGAGTATGTGTGTATGTGTGTGTGTGTGTGTGGGGGGGGTAATGTGTGTATATGTATGGATATGTGCATGCAGGTGTGTATATATGTGTGCATGTACATACATTCATGTGTGTGTGTATGTGTGTGTGTGTGTGTGTGTGTGTGTGTGTGTGTGAAGATCTAAGAGACTGTAAGTCCTAAAAGCAGGGTAGGCCATCTTTCAAGCACATGAACCCATGACTACAGAGCGGGGAGACGTCCCAGTCAGGAAAATGCTTGCCTCACCAACATGAGGACCTGAGCTCAATCCTCAGAATGTGTGTAAAAAGCCACGTGTGGTGGCATACACATGTAATGCTAATCATAGAAGAACAGAAAGCTGAGACAGAGATTTCTGGAAGCTCACAGGCTGGATCACCTGCTCTGGGTGGTAATATTCCAAGCCACTGTCTCAAATAAAAGGCGGACAGTACCTGAAGACCAATTTGTATCGGCCTCTGAGGGTGTCTTCTGACCTCTATGTGAACAAAGAACCTATGTACATTCACCTTCCTGCCCCCAATATACCCTGAAGATGACAGTTAACTGAAAAATGATTATCTACCGACTGTGAAAGCCAGACTCCTAGGCACTGTTTGGCTTCCTCCTAACTGATCATAAATAGCATTGCAACTTCTCTCTTGGTCCTCTGGACTCCTTTTTTGGAAGGAGAGAGCCAGTTTTCTGTGGAAGAATATTCTAGCAGTCCTCCAGGGAGGCCCAACCAGCAGTCAGCAGGATCTTGCCAGTGTGGTGTATGAGGTCCCAAGGAAGTGGCTCCTCCAGCCCGGTGGCTTTTTCAGATTCCTGGTGGCTCCAGCTGGCATCTGCTGCCACTCAAGAGAGAGCCAGTGCCAGAACCATCACACAGACTGTTCTTGGTTCCTGTGATTTGTGATTACTTTTGGTTTTAGCAGCTAAGTTTAGGGAGTGGTTTTCTGCATGATGGCAGATAACAAACACATTGAGTATGTGGTACATGTCATGTGCTAGTTAAAATGGTTAGCAAGAGTGGCCATGCCTTTGGCTTCCCAGAGTTCATATACTGTCAAGGAGAGAGTGAGGGACCATAGAAATGTGGGACCAGATTTACTAT